AATGCTTTCCAGCTCCATCCATGCTGTTGCAAAGGGTAGGAGCTCCTTCTTTCTTTCTGCTGCACAGAATTTCATTGTGTAAATGTACCATAGTTTTTTTATCCATTCATTTACTGATGGGCATCTAGGTTGCTTCCAACTCTTGGCCATTGTAAATTGTGCTACTATGAACATTGGTGTGCACAGGTTCTTTTGGATTGGTGTTTTGAGACTTTGTATCTCTTATTATCATATTTTAAATGCCAATACTCAGCTATTTTTTTTAAGATTTACTTATTTTTTAAAGAGAAGGGAAAGGAGAGATAAAGAGAGGAAGAGAGACATTGGTGTGTGGTTGCCTTTCATGTGCCCCTTTACCAAGGGTCCAGCCCTCAACCCAGGCATGTACCCTGAATGGGAATCAGACCAGCGACCCTTTGGTTCACAGGCCAGCATTCTATCCACTAAGCCACACTAGCCAGGGCCTCAGCTGGTTATTTTTAAAATATACCTTTGATGAACTTTAAACTGTAAAGTTATGGTTCTCATAGTCTTCTACATGACAAAACAACATGCACTTATTTTTATCAAAAACCAGACTACATGATGGTTTAAACTAATTTTTGTGTTAATAAATCTCTGAAATATATGCAGTAGACTTCACATTTACATAAAATTAAAGAAAGGATGCTTCAGCAAATGCAAATAAATGCAAAAAGGAATATTTTAATTTTGATCCATGATTAGTATCAATCATCACAATGTGTTAATAATACAAAAGCAAAATTTTACATTTAAAGTATCACCAATGGTTGTAAGCTATTTATAGACTGAGTAGACTGATTAATTAATTTAGAAATATATTTATTGATTGTATTTTAATTCTGCTTTAAATCTGAGCTCTCTGAAAATATTTTAATATTAGAATCTTATGCACTTACTTCTGCAATATACAAGCCCAGAAAAAAGATTTATTTCACTTGGTGCATTATTAATTGTATGAATTGACTATTTAACCTCTATTGATTTGCATTTATTACTTAGTGTTCAATTTAAAAACAAGCAAAAATTATTCAACAATAGGAAGAAAGACACAAATGTTCATTCTAGCACCCAGGGAATATCACTTGATTATCCACTGTTATATGTTCTCCTGTCAGCAACTTTCAAGGTCTTGAAAGAGCAGTCAGTTTTAAAACAAAAGTTTTTAAGTACAAATAGTGAACTTATAGAAGGTAATCCTTGCATCCTCAAGGCACTGTAGCATTTAACCCTTTCTTATATTTGGATTTTAGTGAAATTTTTCATCCTGTTCATTTCTTATTTTTAAAGCCCTGAATAGGATTTTGACCTGACCATACCAGCTGGAACACTTTTGTTATTATATGTGATTTGAAAATTCATCATGCTATTTTGAATATCCAGAAAATATTTTTTTCAAAGTGTAGGTTATATTGGTAGACATTTTTATGTGTAAGCCATGAGGAAGGTGATGTATAATTACTTTTACTGCATTTCAACTCTTTATTGTTTGCATATTGCCATAGATTTTTCTAGGTTAGACCTAATTTCAAGTTTGTTTCCCAAGATGCTCACAAGGGACCAAAGTAGCCCAGAAATTCCAATACTTTGACATACTGAAATACACATTATATTTCCAAAATTGGTTCTTTTAAATGGAATTGGAATGTAATTCTTGGACAAATCATATGTTCTGATACAGGGATTGGAAACTGGTTGCATAAAATATTTCCAGAAAATATAGAGAGCTGAATCTTCTTTACGTGTCAAAGAGAATCTGCCTTAGGATAATCTACTTAAGCAGGAACATTTCTCTCAAGCAGGTTATCTTGTAAATTGCAAAGTGATTTTGTTATCTTCTAGTCATTCATATCAATCAGTCCTACAAGTCTGAGGTCTCCTTAGGGGTGTGAGGAATCTTGGGTAGAACTTTCACATCCTTATGGGGTTGTGACTTTTACCACAGTGACAGGTGTCCTGCTTACATAAAAGCCATGATATGACTGATAATTATATTTCCCAGTGGTTATTAACAGGGTGGGCATTTTCCTTTCATGTTGGTATTAGTGTTGTTGTTTGTGTACCAAAGAATACCGGATGTGAGGTCAGAAATTGAACAAGACAAATGTTCTAGGTAAATTACTCTATGTCAGGCAGGGAGGAATAGACACATCAAAATCCTAAGGAAAGAGTTATTTAAAAGTCATAACAGAATCACTTTATCTTCGCTGTAGATGAAACTGATTATTACCCATGAGAAGAAGAGAAAGGCTTTTAAGAAATAGGCCATAAAAGAGGAATATTTTTATAGAAAAAAGATAGGCCTGAGGAATCCAGAAAGTCACAAGATAACGTAACCATACAGAGTTTTGAAGAGTAATAGAAATATAAAAAATAAATTTTGAAGGACATAGATAAAAAGCATCTCACACCTTTGGATAGCTCTCATGCCTGCATAGCATCCTGTGAGTCGCTATGCTATCACCCAAAATAAGCGACTAACTTTCAGTCTTTGCTCATGCCTCACAGTCGAAATTCCCTTCCACATTCTTTGTATCTCATGCATTTTGGAAATCCTCTCGCTCTTCAATATCACTTCCCTTACTTACCCCTCCTTTCTTCCTTCAGTAATTTGCTACTACAGTTGTTTGCCTTTTTATTTTGCCCTGCATTATGAAATAGTTGTTTATGTCTATTTCTTTCATTAGGTTTTGAGGTGCTCTTTGTGGTCTCTATAGTTGTCTAGTTTAACATAAATCAAGGAATAAAGAAATGTGTATTTGTTTTGTCTTAAACTTTAAGTGGAATGGAAATTGATAATACAGGTTCACATAATACTCTCTGCTTGCATAGATAATACTTGTGGTTATTAATATTTCATTTTACCTGTGTGCATGATTCAAGGCAAGGTCAGGTTTCCTCATCCGTAGATAGCATATAACAAGCTTTGTCTCAATAAAACTTGCCACACTTGCTATGTCTTCAGCAGGTGCTTCAAATCGTTTTCCAAGAGCTGCCCCTTTGCTGCAGAGCTTAAAAAAATACAATACTTTAAATATCCTAATAATCTCAGCATATAATTTATCCTTTAAATAATCAAAACATATATATATATATGTATATATATGTAAACATATTTTTACCAAACTATAAGTATTAATATTTTGATTGTAAATTAAATAAAATGTTTCTATTCACTATTATGTGACTATAAGAAACACTTTACTGTAAAATGCTTCCTGTAAAAATATTTTAGAGGTATGATATATTTTAAATAAGTGCCATTTGCTAAGAAAGTCTGTTTTAAAAATAAAGCACGCGATAAGCAAAGATATTAACAGAAAACCGGGTATAAATCATATTAAATACCAGAGCTTTTATGAAAACCCAGCTGAGCAATGATCTAGCACACTATCAAGTTTGATTTAATATAATAAGAGGTATCGGAAGTAAACTCCTAGGAGCCATTAAAATGATCGGTGATTAATTTGAGTCTGAATCATATTCTCTGGAATGTTACTGAAAGAAAAGAAGTAAAAATTTATTAGAATTTATTGGCAGGGACCACAATATCTGAAAAACATGGCAAGAATGTGGAATTTTTAATAAAAATTCCAGGAAGTCAATGGTTTCTGGGCACTATGGATAAACTGTGGGGGAAAAATAGTATTTTTTTGGAGAACCCTAAACATTAAGAAGTGTCACTACTATGACAAGGGAAGATCAGCACTCTTGTTTCCCCACAGACCTTCCTGCTGTTCCTTGGAATCAAGGCTGCTCGGGAAGGAGAAGCCTCACCTTCTGTTCAGTGACCTTATTTAGGGTATTTGTATCTTTGCTGTTTTCTATCTCCATTTATGTATATACTGGGGGAAATTTTCTCACCAGGGATAGTAATATATGAAGTTAATACCTGTCCATCTATACCTTAATATAAAATTTCTTATATCCTAAATTCTGTTTAAGTGACATAGCTTAGAATTTCTTTTATAGATTAAGTCAACATTGGCTTGCTATTTACATTAAGATTACTGGCAATTGTTTGTTTAAGTGCAATTTGGTTGAGAATTGGCTATGTTCTGTTCTAAAATGTATTCCTCTTCTTACTTTTCTTCAAAAAACTATAAGTTAAAAAGAGAATCCAGGCTCTAGGTGTTTAACATCCCTACTTCAAATGAGTAGTTACCTAATCATACAATCTTTTGTGCATAGCTTGTAAATTCTGAGAACTCACATTATCTTCAAAACTCTTTTCCAATTTGATGGGTGAGAAATGTTACTTCGTTCATGTGGTCAATAAATATTTATTGAGTGATTACCATTAATTACCAGACAACAATTACTGACTTTTACATTTAATGTGTATTAGATAAGACTTTTCATAAATTTCAGCTATTTTGCTCTATGTATATTCCTTCCTGTTTTTTGTTTTGTCTATTATGTTGATCTTTTTCTTATTAATTATAAAAGCTCTTTAGATATACGAACTGTTTTCTCTCTTTCTGTAACAACTACATACATGTGATCGAGTGTAAGAAATACCTCCTGAATTTTAAAAGATTCACCTGTTATTCATATTCTGATAAGGACCATCAGAGTACATATTATAAAACACTCTTTTTTCAACGTTTTTGAAAAACAAAATGGCACACATTATTAAGGGAAGCTACAACATAAAAGACCTCAGTCAATGCTAACTTTGGCTGCTTCATAAAGATAACATAATAAAATTGGATATGAAAGAGACAAACATTTAACACCAATTTAGTAATTACTTCAGATGAGATCGGGCGCATTCAAGGTGGTATGGCCATAGTAGTAATTCAAATTCCTACCTTACCATTGACAACCAGGTTGTAAACAGATCTTAAATAAGAACGAGAAAATATTGTACTTTGAACATGAATGCTTGAGGCAGCATCTCTGCTCTTCTACCTATCTGATCCCACAGGACCCAGAAATACCTAAACAGAGTTTTTAAAACAAAAAAAAAATTTTTGGTGCTTGCTTTGGCAGCACATACATTAAAACTGGAATAATACAGAGATCAGCACAGCCCCTGTACAATAATGACACACAAATTTGTGAGTGTCCTATATTTTAAAATTTTTTTGTTGGATGCCATAGCTCTTTCTAAACCCAAATCAGTAGGAAACACGTAGAAATTGTGTAGTTTTGTTTGTTATTATGTCACAGTATTAAATTCTAGACCTTCTTAATTAATTTTATCTTCTAAATAAAATCCTTCTAAATAAAATCAACATTATTTTTTTGTGTCTTAAATACCCAAACCTTCTGGACCCTTCATGTAAAATTTTATAGAAAGAAATGGACACATAAAAAAAGAAACAAGCTGCACATTGTACATATTCCCTGCCCTTCCTGTTTGTGCTCCTCTTTAATGTGGAGGAGAAGAAAAGCTTCCTCTCTCAGGCACACTTACTTCAGGACCAATGTGGGCCACTTAGGGAGCGGTCAGGGGTTCGCTTCCAGGAGGACACTGAGACCCTACATAGCAAGAGGAAGCCAACCTTCAGATTTGATTATATCAAAGGCTATGTCTATGAACACCAAACGAAGGGAAGGATAAATGCCTTATTCTCTAACGTCTGCAATATTTTCTACTTCTATGGGATTCAAGGCAAGAAAAGAAATTAAAATAATCAATCTTAACGTACTAAAGTGAGGACTTCATGAAACCAAACTGTAAGACAGCATTGAAAGCCAAAGAAAATTGTTCAATTCACATGAAAATGGAAAATGGGCAGCCTGCTGAGTAGGATTTGCATGTATTAGTGGTACTCTTGTTTTATCAATTAAGTATTGTAAGACAGAGAAATTTCTTGATTTTATCAAATATTACTTTATTTGCTTTTGCCAAAGAGTACATCTTTGAAATAAGCTTAGCCATAAGGAAAATCTTTATAGAATATGTTGAGTTTAAAGGTAAGTATAGACAAAATGCTGATGAAAGGATTGTAAAAACAGTGCAGATGTATTACTAAATTTTAAAATTTCTCTGCAGACATTTTAAAGACTAAGAAGTTAATTCTCCAGAAGATGAAGGATTTTAATGTGGTGTAAATGTGTTTAATTGTGGGAACAATGATTTTGTTCAAGTTATATTTGTCTAAAACTATATACCAAGTCTTTGATGAAATATGGAGATAAGGAAACAGGAACTTTTAAACTACATACTTGATATAGTACATCAGTGAGAAGAATTTTAATTAGGAAAGAAAATATTAGGTACTCATTTTTTATTTCAAAATGAAGCCTAAAATATGTTTGAAGGAAGCATGGAAAACTTAAGAGCATTATGTTAAAGGGAAAATACGGTGAAACCCTTTATTGGTGCAGTTGTTTTAGGAGAAGCTAGATGGTCAATGAAATTTCAATAGTGTATTTAATAGAATTGGTAGTTTTATAATTTTTTCTCTAAAAACAAAAGCTTTCAGATTAATTTATGAATTCTGCCATCATGCTTTCTAATCACTAGTCTTTTGTTCTCTTCTGCTGGCCTTGGTATTTTATTTTTCCTTTTGCCTCATTTTTTCTTAGGGTTATTTTTTTTTTCTGTAGATCTTCAACTAATAATACCTTTAGTTGAATACTTAACTCATTTCTCTTAGCTTTTCTTATAAGTTTATTGTATGTTTCTGTGTTTTACTGAAGAAAATACTTATAGCTTTAATTTAATCTCTTTTGCCAAAAAGTATTTAAAACGGTATGGGCTTACTATGTATTCTTTAAAACTTTACTACCAAGGCACCGCTTCTCACACTTAAAGGGTGCGAACAGACCAAAAAATGTCGCAAGAAGATCTCAAAGCCCCAGAGCCCATAGATCTAAGTGATGAAGAAATAGCAAAACAGACGCACAGTTTAAAACACTGGTCATCAGGATCCTCAGAGAACTGGTTGATTATAGCCACAAATTAGACAAATATATGAAGGCGAAACTAATTGAAATGAATGGAATTGCACAGGACACCAATAGCAATGAAAAGGAAACTGGGACTCAAATCAATGGAGTGGACCAGAAGAAAGCAAATAATGGCCAAACAGAAAAGAATCAAGAAGCAAGAATTCAAAGAAATGAGGAGAGTCTTAGGAACCTCCAGGACATCTTTAAACGCTCCAACATCCGAATTATAGGGGTACCAGAAGGGAGAAAGGCACGGCCACCAGTGGAAAACTTATTTGAACAAATAATAAAGGAGAATTTCCCCAATCTGGCAAAGGAAATAGACTTCCAGGAAATCCAGGAAGCTCAGAGAGTCCCAAAGAAGTTGGACCCAAGAAGGAACACACCAAGGCACATCATAATTACATTAGCCAAAATTAAAATGAAGGAGAGAATCCTAGAAGCAGCAAGAGCTAAGGGGACAGTCACCTACAAAGGAGTCCCCATCAGACTGTCAGTGGATTTCTCAAAAGAGACCTTACAGGCAAGAAGGGGCTGGAAAGAGGTATTCCAAGTCATGAAATCCAAAGACCTACAACCAAGATTGCTCTATCCAGCAAAACTTTCATTTAGAATGGAAGGACAGATAAGGTGCTTCTCAGATAAGATCAAATTCAAGGAGTTCATCATCACCAAGCCCTTATTATATGAAATGTTAAAGGGACTTATCGAAGAAAAAGAAGTTAAAGAAACATGAACAGTGAAAGGACAACAAACTCACAGTTATTAACAACCACACCTAAAATGAAAGCAAACTAAAAGGACAGCTAGATCAGGAGTAGAAACATAGAAATGAAGATCTAAGGAGGGTTAGCAACAGGGGAGTGGGAGAAGGAGAAGGGGGGAGAAGGTACAGAAAATAAGTAGCATAGACAGTAGATAGAAAATAGAAGGGGGGGCAAGAATAGCATGGGAAATATAGAATCTAAAGAACTTGAGACACATGGACATAAACTAAAGGGGGGGTAATGGTGAGGATGGGGGGTAGGGTGGAGGGGAATGAAAGGGGGAATAGAACAACTGTAACAGCATAATCTATAAAAAAAATTTAAAAAACAAAAAAAAACACTTTACTACCTGTTTATATTAGTTGCTTGTAAGACTAGACATTTTTGAATACTTGCTAGTCAATAGTATTTCATCATTTATGAATTATTTGCTGCTTATTAATTTCCATTTCCCAAATGTTAAAGGAATTAATATTTTATGCATAGGTATAAAAGGAGAGGTATGAGTAGTGGAATTAGGGGATGAAACAGCACTGAAAGCCCCAGAAATGAGTCTTTGAATAAAGCTGGGTACTACTTCATTCTACTTGCAAAAGGCCTGTGTCTCTGTGTCTACTGGGCATGAAATAGATACAGGTAATAATTTAATTTTTTAATTAAATTAAAAAATTTCTGTTCTTCTTTGGAGATTTTTTTTGAAATTTAATCTGGTGTTTGGCAGATCTTTGCAGTTCTACATTTTTGGAATTTCTTTATGTGGCTTAATGCCCATGGTAGGATGAAAATTGGGCACAATAACTAACCACCATTCTTACCTGTAAATGTTCTAATGTGATGTTTAAAATTTCTTTTGAGATACCAGATTATATGTTCAGCTGGAAATGTTCTCATAACTGGTAGTTTTCAATTACAATAAATATCTTTTTATATTCTCATAACAAAATGGAAAGAAGGTCTAACTGTAGAATAACACCCATTGGTTTTCAGTTTTCTATCACCTTCTTGTATGAAAGAGGAATGAATCAGAGACCTCACTACTTGTAACTTTCTACATGGTGCCACATAGATCTACTAAAATGTCTCCATGGGAGAGACAGAGTATGTGAAGCTAAGAGATGCAGAGAATTATGTTCACACCTCAGTGGACTTAAAAGTACCATCAGGGTTTCAGAAGCAATGCTTTTCAGCCAAGTAGGCTATGGTGTGACCTCTATTAAATTTATGGGAATTGAAGAAATGAGGTTACTCCCTGGGTGACAAGCTGTTGAATGACAGTAAAAATAATTAATCACTCCCACTCCTGTTTGTTAAAATGGCTGTGCTTCAGTCTTTTTTTTTTTTTCCAAGGTAGCCTTCAAACAGAGGTGTGGCCACAGTGGGTTCATTCCTGTGTTTCACCTTGATATGACCATCCAGTAATTTTCTTATTTTCTGAAGCATGTAGATGATACACATTAACCTTCAGTTTTTTTCCAGGATACCCCTAAACTCTAGCTATCTGATGTGCAAAGCAGATTAGATGTGTGGCAGGAGTGAAATGAATTAGCAGAATAAATCTTTCTTCTTGTCCCTGCATATCAGGTCATGAAGGTAGTGATTTTAAAATAAAGATAATGTTAATCACATACTTATTTTAAGGTAATTATTTATATTATAAAGTATGTTGTCACATACAAACTTAGCTTGTGTACTATAACAGCTAGCTTTTACTGAGTGTTGAGATGTGTCTGGCATTGTGCTAAGCCCTTTAAATATAGTATCCCATTAGATATCACTCTTTAGATGGTATCTTCTTAAATATCATTACTTCCAAATCAAAGATGTGGAAATTGGTTTAAGAGAGGCTAGTAACTTGTCAGATAATAATTTCTAGAGCTAAGATTCAAAACCGGATCTGGATCTCATCCCCACCTAGATCTTGACGGGGATGTATGTAATAAATACAAGAATGTATGTAATAAATACTATGATTTGATGAGGGTGAGGAATAAAGAATTGAGACCAATAACTTCATGTGCTTCAAGCAGAGGAACACATCTATTTCTCTAAGAATTTCTTTTCCAAATTCCTCCCCCCACCGTGGTGTGGAGGTGTACAGTGTGGGTTACGACATGAGATAAAAATCTGGATCTCTACTGTTACCGTCCTCTCAGTCCCACCGGTTCCTTCAGGATGAAAACAGTTCGGAAAGTGTATGTTCTACAGCATGTTGAGGTGTTGTGTCAAAAAATTTGTCAGATCAAATAAGCCTGTGATACACTTGACTATAGGACTACTAAAACTATTCAACGCAGTAATAATGCATCTTGCAGATATCTAAGGAGATCGTCTGGCATAACATATTTCACAGGCTTGTTTGACCATAGAATCTTGTTTGTGCAACTAATCCTTTTTTTAAAGAACATCTTG